CTGTCTGCTAAGCTCAAATCAACCGCGCCTGGCTTGACGGAGAAACCAGGAGAACAGCTGTGCATGTTTATGACAGTGCACTTTTACTTTCGCCCTCTGGGGGGAGCCTCGCTGGAAAATCAACACCGGTTGCATAGTGTACCTTTAATATGACATTGGTGAAAAAGGTAAAGGTATATTGTCATTTTTTTGGTTCTGTTTAAGTTTTATCTTTGAGTTGTCATTGGTTTTATTTCCATTTTGTGATTCTAGTTATTTTTGATTGTATTTTAGTTCTTTGGTATTTCTTGTTTACCCTCTTGTGTCAGTCTCATTTTCCCAGCTCCCTTCCAGACTCCTCTGTCCACACCTCCTCCCGATCTACGAATCAGCCTGGTATTTGTTTCTGTCTCCCTCATTTACACCTCCTGCTCAGTCACTGTTTGCTGTTCTGTCGTCATTTCTTTGCCCCCTTGTTGTAAGTATTTCTGGTTTTCAGTATTTTTGGATTTGTGGATTTATGTTTGTGGACTTTTACTTCTGTTACTCTTTTTGTTTTTAAATCTGCAAGAAAACACCTCAGCTTCAGTCTCTGCATTTGGTTCCTCTTCAAACATCCACCTAACCTGACAAATATGAATATTTTGCAAGGCACTGTATCCAAAATAACAAATATGATTTAAAACCAAACCAGTTTTTCCCTAAGAGGGTAGCAAATGAAATGAAAAAAATAAAAAATATATATACACTGCCACTGCTCTCCTGTTCCTTCACACTTCAGATACTTCAATTTACCTCCCACTCTCAAAAAAAATGAATAAAAAATGTCACGTTTTTAAACTACCGAGATGTATTAATCATTATTGCCTTCAGCCCTGATACCAACTTAGTAGGTAAACAAAGGGGGTTGGGTGGGTGGGGGGGTTACACAGTCTAAAAAAACTAAGCTGTATTTTTAAGTGAAGCTTGAGTGGAACAATAAAAGTACACAAAGCCGACAGATCCAGAGATGCCACTGTAGTTGCACTGCTTTATTATTGCCAGCTGTTCACAGGACCAGATGGGGCACTTCACTTTGCTAATGATGGCAATACATCACCAGATTCAACAGACACGAGAACACCAGAATTATAGAGATGGTAGATATGAAACCCAGCTGCTCAAATGAGGTTTTATCCCCTTGGACACAGGTGTGAAGTACGCCCCAGGATATTTAACGTGGAGGGATCAGAGCTGAACAGCCGAAAACACATACAACACAGTAGATCTGATGAAAAATAACTTGCATTAACAAATTCACAAATAAACATTTGTTTTGGTCTTATCACAAAGAGACACTTGGGAAAAATGTCGTTATCCGTGTTACCAGAATAGATGAAACACTTCCAGAAACAGGAGCTAATATTGATCCAACTATATGGAATACATTAAAACCGATTTTCAATTTTTAACCCTAAATCACCTACAGTTGTAGTGCTCAATTTAAAAATGTATTAAATATTGAATAATTTAACCTTAGAAGCATTTTATGGACAGTAACTACAGACTGCTAAAAAAAATTCATGCAGACTAAAACTCTGTCTCTTAATAGCTTATGTATGGTTTATTCTCGCCTTTATTTTATGTGAAGATGTAAGGAAGGATGCAGCTCACTTATAATTTATGTTGAAGGTAATGAGGTTCATGTTCATGTTCTTTTGCTTTGGCTATTGTTAGAAGTAAAAAAAAAAATATGGTCATTCTTTAACCAGAAATTCACCACAACTTTTTTATAATCTTCAAATGTTATTTGCTTTTATTGTGTCGGATATGTATATGTGCATTAATAGAACTAAAAATGATCAAATTAAATTTTCAATTCACATGTAGATCATTTTAAAGGCTTTATTCCAGTTTTTTTTTTGTACTTTGATGTTCATAACGGTTAAATTATGTGCTTCTTTGTTTCATTTAGAGTTCAGATAACAACAAACTTTATAATAAGTTTAAATCTGACTTGCTTGTACCATGACTTAAAAGTTCACAGAGTATAATTATAAAAGGAACTAAATGTGGATATTCATTAAATCAGCACCAATCTAATGCATACAAAAAGCAAATCTTTTCCTTAAAATGCAAATTCATGCACCAGAAATCTGGTTGTGATACCAAGATTACATACACTTAAATTGCACTAAATGCCTTTTCTAGGAAAAAATATAACATACAGACTCAGCTAAATTTAAAAAATATTTTTTTTCCCACAATTTTCAATTTATAGTGGATTTTGTTACCACAAATATGGAAGTGTTTAGCCGCACGCTTAGCTGCAGATTTTACCTCTTTTTTGTAGAATTGGAACACTGGAAAAACAATCTAGAAAGGAGTCCAAATTTCTTAAATTAAGTGTATTTACTCTTAATTTGAGTAGGTAAATGACATAGTTTGCCAACGGAATTAGTATTTTTAGTCTTAAAATAAGATTGTTCTATAATATGCATTTGAAATTAGACAATGCAATTGTGTTTTCTTATTTTAAGTGTAAATTGTCTTGTTCCATTGGCAAAATGTCTCTTTTACCTCCTCATTTCAAGAAAAAATGCACTTCTTTTAAGAAAAAATGACTTATTTAGATTTTTATTTTTTCCAGTGAAGAGTTTGTGAAAAATAATCCTATATAGCATATATGTATATATATATGACATGTTTTGAGGTGAAGTTGAAAAGTTTCCATCTGTTATTCCATCCAACTTGTAAGTTGAGCCAATGCTACTAGCAGCAAAATAACCCCACATCAAAAGGCAACCAGTACAATAGATAGCAGCTGGTGATATGTTCGTAGGCTGGAGGGCATTCCTCACATTGTGACTCTTCCAGACGTACTACTTGTCGCTATGGTACAATAAATAAATGATTTTGTCTCAGGATTGCAAGTTTTTAGTTTCAGATGTGTCTGTTTAGCTAAAAGTTTCACTAAATCTTTGAGGTCCTTCAGACCTGGGATATCAGCACTGTCTCAGTCCTTAGTTACATACAAATTACTTAATTGTAGAGAGTGAGACTCACAACATCATTCAGTTTTTCATAAGGTCCTGAGCATCCTAAACAATGTCCTTTCCCCTAGAAAATGTACAACTTCTGATCTATTTTAGGAAAAAGTGGTGGCAAAAATGAGGAAATTTTCTTAAAATTTTTTGTCTCCCTATATTTTATTTTTAATACTGATCTTGAAATTAAAATGTATTTGAAAATATTCCACAACAACTTCCCCAGCTCCGATTAATATATAGTTCTCTTTTGAGTTGATGGGCCAATATTATAGAAATATACATTCTAGAGCATTTCATAACTTCTGACTAACAAACTTTAGCGCATTTATATAAACTGTATGTATAGTTTTGACTGCCACACTGCAAAAAATCTAAATCTAGATAAGTC